ACAAAACGACGATAATTTTTCTAATTTCATAGACAACAGAAGACTGTATTTTTTCTACATAACCCCCCCTGACTTTAAAGCTGGATCCGCCCCTGGTATCAACATCAAATGTCCGAAGTTTTCATTTCAGGATCTAACATCGATGTTTTATCGATGTCCCAAATTTCCAACATCAATGGAAAAAATATCGAACATCGAACGAATTACATCGATGTTTTTCTCCCATCCCAACTCCCAAACAAAATCACAAGCATGTAGAGAATGACATTATCGTCGATTAGACGATCCATGAATGAAATTATTTCAATTACACAAATTAATAACTGACCTGTCTCACTGTAACCCACAATACCATTAATAATATAAGGATGGTAATGTATAAGCTGGTGCCTGCAGATAATGATTTCGAATGTCATAACCACATCTCGAAGAGAGCATGATTACAATAATGACAAAATGAATGGTTGTTTTATAATTCGTTTCCATCTCGGGTTCACATTGTCCAGCGTTTGATACCCATAAATGTGGCATCTAATTTTATTAACGTTGTCGTTTAGTATGCTGTGTCATTATTATAGTATGTAAAAGGAAACATTAGCCGCATGGAACATGTCTTGTATTATTGCGGTATCAATTTCTAATCGGTTTGCAAGCCATTGAGACCATAAACACCAAAATGCTTTAAGGAACTTGAGACCAAAATTCACTTAGAACTAGTTAGCAATTAATTCAATCACGAATGCTCTGAAAATGGTCAACCATGTGAATTTGCGACATAAATGTTAGAAAACTTGTTGATTTATGACTTGGCTACTTTGTAAAATCCTGCCACATCCATAAGAAACAAATATAAAAGTAATTTATATCCGCCAAGCGGCGTTTGGAATTATTCTATCTAATTGAGTAGTTAATTATTTAATGAAGCATAATTAAAAGGACGTGTTAAGAACGTTAACTAGATGGATTCAAATGGAAGCCGCTCTATTTGGCTATATTTCATTTGCAATTATCTGGGACTTAAGCTTATGCATGCTTGCAAACGTGTTTAGTTAAATTATCGTTTAGTTTTTCAACCTTGCAGCTAAAGGAAATTTTAAAATTGTTTCAGAAAATTGCAAAAAAATTATCTCAATCCTTAATTTATTTTAATTATCTTTAAGTACTTGGAAGTTTCAAAGCGTTTCAGTAGAAAAACCATCAGAAGGCAAGCAGTTCTCTTATAGGAAAGCCAAATTTGGTTCTTCCAGTTAACAATGAAATTTTTTCGGGCTTTCAGGCCGTTGAGAAACATGACTTCTGTCAAGAAATAGTTTCACTGCGACTTAAATATTTATTTTAATGAAAGTTTACAAAGAGTACATTTTGCCAACATTTCCTTATCGATGGTTCACTTTCTAAAAAGGCCATTTATTTCTCTCTAGAATGATGCTGAATGAGCTAGAACGCTCATTTTGCCTCCGAGAAATGAGCAAAAACATGGAATTTTGGCATACTCTTGCACCGAAGTGTCTGATATTGAAATTTCGCTTTCTGGGTCAAAACTACTCGAATTTCCTCACTCACGTTGTTACGACTGAAGCAAGTTTTCAATGCTCTATTCAACGATATCAAAACGAATTCTGTGGCTCGAATGGATCTTGCTCATTTTGCTTCCGAGAAACATGCAAAACGGGACGGAAAACATGAAATTTTGCAATAATCTTACGCCACCCTTGCACAAAACGACGATA